ACGCCCCCCCCCCTCCACCGCCCCCCCCCCCCTTTTGGGAGGTAAAAGAAAGAAAAAAATAGGGGAAAAAAGAAAAAGAAAAAAATGATAGCCCAGACACCTAAAATGGTATTTTTGGGCGCCTAGAACACAAACATTTTGCGGGGGCATACCCCGGACCCTCTAGGACAGTGTTGTCTCGATCAGCCCACCTTTCGCCTCCCTCCCCTTTTGGACATCTCTGGATCCGCCCCTGCCTGTAGTTGTAAATTCAAAATTATTAAGAAGGCTTATACCATCCCACTTGCAGTTCTTCATATGTTGCAACATTTGAGAAGGTAGGAACAACCTTTTACTGTCTATCTGATTCTAAAGCATGTTTCATTTTACAACCTTCTCCAATGACATGAACTTCGTTTGCATAAATTTGCACATTGCTTTTCAGCAATTCCTTTTGTTGCAAGAAGTGTAGTTGTACAGTGGTAGCAGCCAGCATTGTTGTGTCTTAAATGTACAGTTGTAAGGTTAGGAAGCACACTCTTTAGCCATGAAACTACATCTTTCATTATCACTGTTCTGGGCTTGTGTTTGAAACACCGCAATGCAACAAAAATGTGCCAAGATATTTATTTTCCAAAAAATCTGCTCGAGATTCTCTGAATGCTGTAATCGGACCACCATCTGGGACATAAGGCTTCTTGTCGGGCGAATCCTGGCACCACACCTACCACGACCACACATTAGGTTTATATTTTTCATAATTCCTCACTTGTCCCGACAAGAAGGGGTGGGGCTGTTGCATGCTGTGGTTAGGGAGGAGAGGGTGTTATTCAGGGACTGGCATTCCCATGCAGGTTAAGGTGCCGTGTCCAACTGGTGACACCACTGACAGAAATTGGTATGAATAAAGTGAAATTATTATAAACTCACCTTAAATGGGTTTAAAATACCGCTAAAACAGAAAAATGACAACATTTACCACAAACATTTATTTTTTTTATCACATCATTACTTAAATTATAGAAAAACATTTATTATTGTTGTAATCAAAGAAATCTATGAATAAATCAGTGGAAAAATCTGGATAATTTACTATTATATTTTAATTTTTAATGAAAAATGCCAGTTTTTCTGGCAACACTGCTCGTACGTTTTTTAATTACCCACATTTTTAAAACTTGAATTCTCTAAGGGAGCATTAGAACTACCTATTTGTAGAAAACCAGTTTTATAAAAAGCACCACTTTGAGGTTTATGAGCAATTAAAGTTCGGACGTTTTTCATAATTTGAAAAAAAAAGAAAAACACCCCATTTTAAAAACATGTTATCTCCCAACTACGAAATCAAAAAAACATTTAAAAATATGCAACAGATTCCCAATGTATTGACCCTTATACACACACTCATTATTTTTGATGAATAAACCATAAGGATATCAGAAATATTATATCAAATTATTACTAATATTAATATTTAAAAACAGTTAAAAATGACAAATTTACCCGTTGCCATGGAAATATACGCACAAAGTGAATAAATCTTCATATTTGATTTCTCTTGACAAAGGTATAGCCCCATGTGCAAAATTTGAAAGAAATCCATTTTTTTTAGTCTGCCACTATTTTTGAAATGTCTTTGATTTTTACAGAACTAAGTAAATTTCACTAAAATGCTAAAATTAAATTTACGAACAATATCAGAATGGTTTTAGCAATTGAAATGCAGTGATGGTGCCAGTAGCCGTCGGGGAAACCATTATATATTAAAGTTGTTCGATTTTTAAAATCTCATTCCAAAATCAAATTACGTTCTAAAGAAGAAGCTCTCGAATGTTAAGTATAAAACTCAATTAAATTGAAATCGATTATTTATCAGTCATGACCCTAACCCATTGTTTTATCTAATTTAAATAGCTACCACTGATTATTAGCTCCCTAGGAACATACCTTCTGGAGTAGCAAGGAAGATCAGAGCGCTTTATGCTATATACTATATATTATTTTATATTATTATTATTTATTATTCTTTATTATTATTATTATTGTTATTATGATTTTTATTATTATTACTAATATTATTATTATTAACATTATTATTATTATTCTTATATAGGCCTAATATTATTAAACATTGCAAGGCTTAGGTCAAGTTCATTAATGCCGGAATGATATAATTAATTTATTATAGAGGTGATGTTTTACCCTACCTGACGTGTTGTACCAAATACTCAGTACGTCCCTAAATACTAGCGAAAGAAATTCGCATGTGATTCGGGTGGGAATTCAAAACACGACCCCAGGTAACTAGCCTGATGACTTAACCACAAGACCACCGTGATTGTGCGTGGTGGCTAGTGATGAATCCTATCCCCAGTGGGTACTACAAGTGCTATTACAATGTGGGTTTGCGTCAGGAAAATATCATAGGAGTGATGTTTTTCCCTACCTGACATGTTATTGTACCGAACACTCAGTACGTCCGCAAATACACCCGAATCACTTGCGATTTTTTTTGCTAGTATTTGGGGACGTATTAAGCATTCGGTACGATAACACGTCAGGTAGGGCAAAAAATCACTTCTATGATATTTTCATGACTCAAACTCACATCGTAATATATTATTATTTTATTATTATTATTATTATTATTTTTATTATTATTATTATTAATACTTCTAATAATTACTATAGCTGCTGTTGTTTTTGTAGATATATACAAACATTTAACAAGACGCTTACAGTTAGTTACAAGCGTATATTCCAAAAATCGGTGAAAATAAATTATACAGTAACTTAGGTAGAACATTGAAATTGAAAATTATGTAAAGATTACGTATTTTGGAAAACAAATAGGAAAGTGATTGATTTCATTCACAATTAAAGAATAATTAAATTACAAAAAAAAAAAAAAGAAGAATGTCATGAAACTTATCACACAATAATAGTTGGTACTTGTTACTAAGTTGTTAACTATATTACTTACGGTACCTCTCGACTTCTGCTCACAAAACAAAACAAAAAATCTTATTTTCCGTTCAAAATCGAAAGTCCTGCAGCCAGAGGTACTGTTCTCTGAATGTGATGTCAAGTGTAGCTTGTTAGCTCAAACTTAAATAAAATCGATAGTCTCTGTCATCACCCATTGTCTGTTCGGGTTAAAGATTATTATAATATTATCTAGCTCCTAGTACATCTAGGTTCCTTTGGAGGTAAAAGGCCATACACGATTTGTTTTTTATTTTACATGTAGGTGTTTTATAATCAGAATATCATTTGTAACAGTTTAAACCCCTGGCTTTTAAACCTATTTTTGGTGGCGACCCACTTTCAGAATGCAAAATCAGTGGCCACCCAGGGCATATACAATATTGTCATACCAAAATGATATTAGCGTGTTATGTGTTGATTACTTAGAACCACAAGCCATCAACCTCAACTAGCTGGTCATAACGTCATAAAGTCGAACATAAAGTAGCGGTGGAAAATCGATTCGAGTTTTATTTACTTAACAAAGTACACAAGACTGTTGATCTTGTCTGCTAAATGTTTATTTTTATAATATGGTGGAATGACTAATCAATTTATTTTTCTCCATTAGTTGGGAGGGTGGTGGCTGAGTCCCCATTAAATCTGCCACTGTGGAGATTACTTGTTACACTCATGAATTTAAAATGTTTTAAAAAACAATGACGGATTTTTGACTACTGTTTACTCGATTTGGGCGACGCTGACTTACAAATATAAATTTAAAAAAAAGACGCTTGTACGTCTCAACTCAAAAGCAAAGAAGCAAATTATAATTATTTTAATCTTTTTGTTTATTAACTGGTACGTCTTGTTAAATTTGGTATATAATTCCTGCCTAATTTTAATTATCTTTCTTGAAGAGATTGGCGACAGTGCAAGCATGAGAGTTGATTCTAGGTTTTGGGTTGACAAAAATTTCTAGCTTTCGTGTTCGTAGCTACTACGTGGGTATATCATTAAAGTTGAGTCCTTTGTAGAAGTATTTTCCACTATGTTTCAGGATGCGCTTTACCAAAGTTAGTTAGTTAGTTAGTTAGTTAGTTAGTTAGTTAGTTAGTTAGTTAGTTAGTTAGTTAGTTAGTTAGTTAGTTATTTAGTTATTTAGTTAGTCAGTCAGTCAGTCGGTCAGTCGGTCGGTCGATCGATCGGTCGTTGCGACCGACCGACCGACCGAAATTGAGGATACCAACGTATTGCCAATAGTTACCACCATTTTAATTAAATTTCACATTGTTGAAGTGTTCTACATAAATGTGAAATATAGTGTACTGTAGTTTTTAAAATAAGTTTGCAGATTGAATATGAATAATAATAATACAACTGTAGTTGAACTATACCGCATGCAGGTAAGTTACCGTGGAATTGCCCATATACAGTAAAAAAAAAGTCGACACTTAATTAACTAATGGATCGTTATCCAGCAAATTGGGTTTCGACAAAGAGGAAGTTGGTAATCTATTATTCGGCTATTTGGGATTCACCAAATTTGAGTCAGAAATTTAACATTTGGCAAACTCAGAATGGCCAGACACCGTAGAACCAACTGTTTTTATTTCATGACATCAATTATATTTCTAGTGTCTAGGCCCATGTGGTTATTTTCAGAATAAAACAAAGTAAAAATATAATTATCATCTTATGCTTTGTCATACTTTTGATAACCATTGTCAATTGTGGCACACTGTGTTCCCGGGTTTGGCAATTATGGTGTATGGCTTGGGAACACTCAATAAACCGGGTTTATCGTGGACAGCTACTGGACCCCCGGCTCCTTCAGGTTGGTTAAATTTGTAATTCTGAATCATCCACACAAATATCAGAAAAATGTTAGCTTTCGCCAATGCTTCCCCCACGCATACTCTGGGACCAGTGGAAAAAGGCAAGAAGCTCGGTAGGCGTTGTTTAACAGAATTTGATGAATCCAAAAACCGCTCTGAAAATGAAAATGAAAATAAATAAATAAATAAATAAATAAATAAATAAATAAATAAATAAATAAATAAATAAATAAA